CCTTATCTGCTTTCAGTAGTAGGGATTAGTAGGAGTCTTATCTATTCAGTGTTCTTATTTTATCAGTTCAGTAGTATGGATTAGTAGGGAGTCTTATCTTATCTTATCAGTTCAGTAGGATAGATTAAGGGAGTCTTATCTTATCTTATCAATTCAGTCTTATCTTATCTTATCAGTTCAGTAGGATAGATTAAGGGAGTCTTATCTTATCTTATCTTATCTTATTTTATCAGTTCAGTAGGATAGACTAGTAGGGAGTCTTCCTAATTAGCAATGAGTGTTTTTAAAAGTAGGACTCTTATCTCTTGTAATCTCCTATTTAAGGAGCTGAGAATATTGATTAAAGGCATCGAAAATTTCAGTCAAGAAAGAGAGAAGAGGAGAGTTGGTGATCTCTTGAACAAATCACCATTAAGGTGCCAAGATATGTTCCTCAAGAAAAGGGAGGAACAAGGGAAAATAAGGGGTTTTTCCCGTGGACCGACCCGTGACGAGATCCTACTCCCGGGCCCATAACAGTTTTCTATTTGGAAGTGGCTGCTGTTAAGCTGCTTCTAGTGCAAGTTTAGGCACTATAGCATTGAACTGTGAGGAATTACCTGTTATGGCTATTTTTCCATTATCTTATCATTCCAAGTTGTTTGGTACATTTTTTAATTCCTAATAATATGAATTCCTTTTGTCATCAGCTTAGCAATACTGAAAATTATTTTTTAAATGAAAGTTTTCCTGGAAATTTATCTTTATCTGTTTCCTTTCCTTAACCTCTTTTTGTTTCAGTAGGATGGTTCTTTTCACAAACATTCAATTGCAGATGAAAAATTGAAATCAATAATTGAGAAGGAAACTTACTGTGAAGGCTCAATGCTATTACCATAAAAAAGAAGGGGAAGCTCAGTGCAGAGAAAGGTGGTTAACCGTTTCAGGTTCATCAATGCAGATGACACAGCTGTAGCTGTCTAGCACCATTCCTCTTCTTAACAGATTGTCCCTGTCTAGCACCATTTTTCCAAAGTTGCAACTGAACCAAGAAAATCATTTTTTCTGCATTGTTCCTTCATAAAGGCGGTTTAGCATATAGCTTTAAATACATTTGGGTGGAATGGTTGTTTTCCCAGCCACAATAAGACTTTTTAAAGGCTGAAATATACAAGGACTTAAAAGAGGTAAGATTATATTTAGACATATCATCCTTTGCAGTTATTTTGTGCACATGGTCTGAGAGAAATGCTGACATCTTTGAAAACAAGGCATTTGTGTAAAAGGAAAGCCATGCTAATGGCTGTCAACAAGCAAGAAATTCAGGGAGCTTCTTACACTTCATTTTTTATCACAGTACTTTGTTTTTGCCATAGTAACTTTCTGATGCATAAACTTCTGTATAGTCCCCACTGTACGGCCCCTCTATGTACAGGGGTGCTGATGTTCTTCTTATGTCTACTAACAATACTTTACCTTTAAAAATAATAATAAAAACAAGCTCAGTACAGAGACCTGAATCTCTTAACTCTAATAAAGTCTTCCCCAACTCTCCAGTGAAAATGTGAAATGAAACAGTAAGATCATTAGTTATGGAACTACTACATACAAAACTCGGTGTTGGATGAGAAATTCAGGTTGAATGCTCTCTTGTTTTGACACTATTTTATGTGAAAGCTCAAGAAAAATAACCGAGTAAGCAGCCATAAGAGTCACAATCGCATCTTGAGGCTGGTCTTGCATTAAGGGCGAGTTTTAATGTATGAATTGAAAATTCCATTTGTCAAATTGTTGGGGTCTAAAATTCTAATTCCTATTCCTTTAATTCTTTTAACTAATGTTTTTTGATGAAACCTAACATTTTTAGTAGTATTTAGACCTTATGTTTTACTTTGCATCAAGAGATTTCTGATGGAGATTGAAGGTGCAACTCCAACAGTAAGTTTGCAGTTTGCTTTTAAGCTATTATTACAAAAAAACATTCACACTTAAAAGCCAATTTAGTGGGTGATGGGCATTCATTTGCAGGAGCATTTATTCTAGGAGATTAAAGCTTTTTTTAAGAGAGGGAGGATTTTAACAATTTATCTTACTCTTTGTTCCAAGCACTTGATTTTTAGGAGGTTTCTCTTAAGATGGAACACTTAAAAAAGAGTTAAGACGACTTCTCTCTTCCCCCACCTTTTTGTTTGCCATTATTCTTCTTCAATTTTATTATCTCCTATTTTAGTTACAACGGAGGTTCAAAGTGCCCTGCGCTTTCGTATTGTATCTTTTGTTCAATGACACATCTATTTTAATGTATTTTTAGAATTTCTTAATAATTAAATAGCATAAAAGTGGCCTTTTGAAAATTTGAAAAGAAAAATTCTATGATGTCGGAAAGACAGGGTACCAGAAAGGCTTGATCAATCATGAATCACCCTCCTGAGTTTTAAGCATTTCCTGTTTCATATCTTTTTGGCATCAAGGTTAAACCCTTTAGTTCAGTTAGGAAAGAGTACAAGTACATGTCCGGTGTAAATACATACAAAATAATTCAAAATATAAGGCTTTGTACTCTATGTATTTGTGGTCGTTCCAACCTGAGTCTTTGAAAAAAAAAAAAAACAAAAAAAAAAAGAGAAAGGTTTATTAATACACCCCCTCCTACTTTAACCTTAGTTCTCCTGTAGATGCAACAATATCATTCATCTGCACAGGTTTTTCGACTGCACAGAATTCTTTCTCTCGAGTTTCTTCACCAAAGCAATTATGCTTTCCTCTATCTTGTTTTGGAATTGCTTGTACGTGAATGTGTTAATTATTGAATTACGTAGTGAATGTTTCGCTATCAATAAAATATTTTACTATGAGCATTCACTCAGTTGTCAGGATGGCCGAGTGGTCTAAGGCGCCAGACTCAAGTTCTGGTCTTCGTGAGAAGGCGTGGGTTCAAAACCCACTTCTGACAATTTATTTTTGTGGCTCTAGGTGTGAGGAGCAGATCCGGTTTCCCATCTTAAAGGTTATGTTTGGTTTGAAGGAAAAAGCAAGGAAAGGAAGGGAAAATTATCCAGCTTGCAATATTTGGACCTTTACTGCGATTATTTTTTATGCAATATTTATTGGCGTTTGGATGGAGTGTAGGATGTAAATAATAAAGATATGAGCCTATGAGTTCAGCAGAGATTCACGCACGCTCTGTTAAAGAAGTGATGATGCTAACAAGGTTGATAAATCCATCCATTCCTAACCATCGTGCCCTGGAGGAGGCCGGAGCACCTCCACACCCCCGGCTCTCAGTCTGCCCATTTCTTATTAGCTGCATCATAATGAGCAAATAGCTCGGTTTAGGAGACCATGCCTTGACACCCAGCAACCACCATTTGATGGGTTCCATAGAAATTATGTGGATCAAAACCCCATCTACTCCACTAATTAACCAGTCACAGAATCATGTCAAAATCTCATGTTGAGCCTGCTATAAATTATTCGTCAAATGATTGACTGATTTTGACATGATTCTGTGACTGGTTAATTAGTGGAGTAGATGGGGTTTCAGATGACAGCTCTGCAGCAAGCCAGTAACCTGATTCAGTTCATTGACAGTTTTCCTCTTGGATACACACCTTGGCAAAATGAAAATGGAGGTCACCAATTTTGTTGGAATACAACTGCCCTGTCACATGAATGCTTCTATGTTTGTCTCAAGGGAAGAATTAATAATTTAATATTGTTAGCTCCCTTCTTTCCCTTGATTCTGAATTGACAGAATTGTTTAAAAATTTTTAGGAAAAAAAGCAAGAGATGCCCTGTGTAAATTACTTTTCATTTAAATTGACATGAATACATGGAATGTATGTTGGTTGAAAAAAATGGGGATAATGATTTCTCTTGACAAAACTATTTAGGAATTTTCCTGCTTTGATCTTTCCAGTAAGAAGATATTGCCTTTATCATCTCTTCCAATGCGCATGGACTCGTCAACATATCTGGATATAACTCGAGTCTAAGGAAAAACAATTAGTAGTTCCCATTTGAGTGTTGATTTCTGCAAAAAAACGATACAAATTTGACTGAACTGTAAGTAAAAGAAAAAGGATACGTGATCTCCAGCCAACCCTCTGGATTGAAGATACCAAGCAGAAGATCATAGTTCTTCTGGAACACATTCATCAACTATTGTCTCACACATAACAATCTTAGTTAGCAACAGTTAGTTCAAGAGTGGAAGAGCTCCTTACAGGTAATATTTTAGTTTCTTTCCAGAAAATAAACCATTGAATGACAGTCTTTTGAAAAGCCCACCATACCTGATCAGGTGTAATGGTTGAACTTCCATACTCTATATCAACTCTCTGCAACAAGAAGGAAAGATGACAGGATGTTAGGGACTTACAAGCCAAAAGAATTTGCAGAATCTGTAAAACAAAAGTAACTCTCTTGGCAAGGAGTAATAGAGTTGTCAACTGATTTGGATGTAATCTTGAAGGAGGCTTGAATGATCAACTCTCCATTCAACAAACTCAATCCTCTTGCGTTGAACTTTATCACATTAACTGCTTTACCCTGCATTTTTCCATCACATGTATCTTGAAAATAATCAATTAAAGACGAGGACTCTCTCTCTCTCTCTCTCTCTCTGAAGAAAAAGAAAAAGGAAACACTATTGAAAAAGCTAATTTTTCATCTTCACTGTGCAATTTGAGCTGAAACTGGGATATAGTACCTCAGCAACGTAAATATTCTGGAAAAAATCTCCCAAAGAAATGAAATCTCGTAATCCTAGTTTGGTCCTTTTCGCACCGAGAATCGAAATTGTGCTGTAGATGAGTTTCCAGCATCCACCCACCTTGCAATTATCAGAAAATAGAAGTAACCAACCATCCAATTTCAGTTGCATAAAGCAAATACAGAGTAAAAGACCAACTACTCTTACCTTGTTTAGATCTTGAGTAGGATCAGGAGTTGGATTCTGGGCCTCCAGCAGCTCCACCAGACCTAAAATTTCAGACTTCTTTGCCGATGGGACTCCAAAAATGCCTCTGTTGATGCCTTTATACATGTTTATTCATTCCATTTCAACTCAACTTCCACTCGCATTACCCACATAAGCTGATAATTTTTCAAATTGAAGAGAGCGAAGGAACTGAAATTTGATACACAGGTGAGATGAATATACCTTGTAAAGCCTGATTAAGAGCTGCTTTGATCTGGGGGATTGCCTTGGACTCTTCTGATACCTCTGCTTCTTGTTCCCCAACCAAACCAGAACCCCGTTCTGCAGCTCTAACGATGTAAGTGGGTCTAAGCCCAGAAGCCTGCTCACCTAATCCTGAGCTCTTCTTGAGCTTTAAATGGGTGGCTGGGGTTGCTCTGCTAGTTTTTATCATCTTTCTCATCTTGTGTGTTGTAGGTACTACATGACAAGCTCTGATGGGTGGCTGTATGAGCTCGATAGCCATGAATTCAGTCACAAGCATACGAAGGAACAGTTTTCCTTACAATGGGCAGGAAGGAGGAGGAACCAGGTCTATTAATAATCTCAAGACTCGGACTTTCTTGCTTATGTTTTATAGATACATGGATCGTTTATTAAATAATAAAAAAAAAGGACTGAAAAAAGGGTTGATGATTTGGGACCCTAGACCAGTTAGTAGTTGCCTCTTGTCCTGATAAAGCGGTGATGTCTTTAGACTTTTTAGTGACTCTATTAATGTAGAAGAAAATAGTTTATTATTTATTTTTGTTTTATTGTATTATTGTAAAGAGAGAGAGAGAGAGAGCATCTTTTGTCTTTTCCATTGGATATGCGAGGTGTATAGACTATAGACTATAGCAAATTGTATGGGCCGAAATTAACCCCAGAATCAAGAAATAAATAAATTGATCCACATGTCGCTTTTAAAAGCTTTATTTTTACAATGGATAAATTAGGAGGATGTGTGGCCGAGAGAGCACTTGGGAGTACATCTGCAAATTAGCTTGAGCTGACTTGACTCGCCATCAACATTGATTGATCACCGGCTCACCGCTCGCTTATTGAACCAAGCCTGAGCCCAATTTTCCGGCTCCTCACTCTTGAGCCAGGAGTTGGTCTACTTCTTAGAATTTCTGACTTTTAATCTAAGTTCATTTGGGCTGTTTTGCCAAACGAACCTGAGCCGACCTTGGTCCTTGCCTTGGATAGGTTCTATCCGGTAATTTATTTTTATCCAAATCCTTACAACATAGGGAAATGTCTTTTGTTGTCATTCAAAGTTTTCAAAAAGTTCGGGATTGAAAGCGCAAGAGGAATGTCTTTTTTATGGGGAAGTAGAGGATATAAATTAGGGGTGAGCAAATAGGTAGGTTTTATCTGGAATGGAATTGAATGGAATTCACTTCTAATTGGCTTTGAATTGATCACATCCAATTTGTTACAAGGTAGGGTCTGGTTCTAAATTCTTGAAATCAATATCCATTTAGGCCAGTTCCAAGGTCTAGGGGTTTACCCTACCCGAACTAACCCAATGAATTGACCTTGGTTGGCCTTAGTGGAACCTGCCTTAGAACCGAACTTGTCTTGAAATAAACCCTAAAAATACTTTTGGATTATAAAGATTTGAATCCAAGCATTCATGGTTATAAAGGCCAATGTCTCATTTGGCCATTGAGTTATTTAACTTATTTGATCATTTGTTTTCATTTTAATATTTGAATGTGTAGAATAAGTAATGTAAAAGGTAATATTTACAAAATTTAAATTTAATTATAAGTTTTGAACCACATAATGATAATCTACATATCAAGTTACTTAATTTAATCAATAAAAGTAATACACATTTCAAACTATATATTATATTTATTGAAAATCAAATTCTTAAAGAATATGCTTCTTTTGTCTTTTTGAGGAGGGGAGTGAAGAAAGAAAAAGGTTCCACAGATAGACCTTGGAATTGACCCTGGAACCACCAAGGCTAGAACTGACCTGGAACCGTCCTTCACCGGGTAAGTTCCAGGTTTTGCCATGAAACCAAACTGAACCGACCCATACTCACCCCTGATATGAATCATATTTTTAAACATTAACAAATGGCAAGATAAATTTGGATGACAATGGATCCATTAATCCCTAAGCCAATGATCGGTGGAGGTTGAAAATGTCACGGGGTGGTGGGACCAACTAGAGGAAAAGAAACATAAAGGTGATTATAAACAAGAGAATGCCATTACACTCCTTTGGGCCATTTGGAATAAATTCAACCCATTTGAACAAGCATGTAGTAGTTGCAACCAAGGTTTAACTTTTCAAATTCAAATTTAATGACTCTTAATTAATTATCACATTTAATAACACGCTATTAAAAGAAATATGAATAGTGCATTTAAGGTAGTGTTCAAATTCGAATTTGAATTTGACATGCCACTAACTTGCCTATTAAAAATCACAAATAAGGGATAAAGGGATTTGGACCCTAGTCATTTGATTCTAACAACTACAAGTCCACCACTATGTTATACCACAATGTTTGCCATATAAATTTGTATTTTATTTCTTAATTAAGTTTTTTTGTTAGTGGATGATTACCAATAAAAAATAAAATTCATCATTAAAATATATATAATAAATATCAATGTTTAAAGAACCGGGCTAGACATCAATCTAGAAAAGGAGAGATTCAATCGAGGTCAAATTGTGATGATGTAATATTATATATATAATTGTATTATTTTATAACATATATTTTTTTATTTTAATTTTAATTTTTTATGAGGCACGTATCTCAAAAAGTTATCCAAAATAAAAATAAAGGTCACTGCAATAGGACATATGAGCAAAAAGTTATGGCCTTTAGAAGTTTGCATTAATGTGCTAAAACAATTTAAAAAATCGATTGTTTTTCTAAAACTAGGATTGATTCACTGGTTTTCGAGTTTGACTAGTCGGGTCGGCAATTTTGGAAAATTTTTAACTGAATCTAGTCATGGTTCAACTGGTCCAATAGGCCAATCAGTCCTATTTTCTAAAAAATGAAAAATATTAATACAAATTATATTGATTCTTTAAATACTATGGTAATGTATGCATACACAAATATTTTAATTCTTTTATCATTTTTTCAACAATTTCCAATTATGTCTCAATATTTCACACTTTGTATAAATCATTGAAATATGGATTTTTATGTTTAAATAGCTTATTTATAGTGATATAAAACTCATATTTATTGTAATTAATATAAGTTTTTAGGATTTATATGAATTTCTTAGTGTATTCATATGTATCTTCATTTTTTGTCCGTATCTATGCGTATCTTAGGTGTATCTCGATGCATCTCTTAAAAGTGTCTCTCCGATACATATTGCGTTTCTAATATTTTTAACCTTAACTGCAATGAGTTCATCTATGATAAAATCCATCTACTCTACATGGTTCTTTGTTTTTTAGTTAATCCACTATTCATAGGTTGGACTTGTACCTAATGGTACTATACTTCACTATTTTTCTGGATGTAAAGTTCATTTTGGTCCAACCAAACAAGCTGTATTGTACAACCAAAGCTGTACTGAAAAGGGTGGTGAAAAGAAATAATCGAGGAAATTGAATGTAGACAATAGACTTTTTTATGGAGGTCCTACCAATAAAAGGGTGACCCAAATGAGGTAGGTACCTCCCCTTTGGATCTATTAGTTGGAGATGGAACACCCCAAACCGTCAAATCAACTATAGGGGAAACAATCATCCTTACTTACAATAAACATTTGTATATCATAGTTGCTAACCAAGGTTCAAAATATCTCAAGGTATGGTATGTCTCGATATTATCGCTTTTTTTTCTTACCAAAAAAAAAAGATATTATCAGCTTTTAAATCCTTGGAAAAATTAAATGAAGGTATTTAAGACATGTGGCCATTTCAATGCCTTTCTTAGAGATGCCCATGTTCAACTTTTTAATCAAAGGTTGTGTTTGGTTTGAAATAAAAAGTAGGGAAAGGAAGGAATTGGTTTGAAAGATAGGAAAAGAAAGGGAAAGATAAGGTGTGTTTGTTTAGGAACAATGGGCAATATTCTTAGACTGTCTTTGGTTTTAAAGAAAAAGATAGTGAAATGGAGGGCTTTCAAACTAAACACAACCTAAAAGTATTGCCCCTTTGAATTGCGAGTGTCAATATTTTGGACCATGTTCCTAACCAAGTTCATAGTTTACAATTTTAGGAGGTTGGGTGAAGACCCCATGGCCATGGCTCATTAATAAGTACTAAGAAAAAGATAAGTGGCTTTGAGAATAAATCATAAACCAAGAAAGTGCTAGCTTGACACATTGTATTTTAATATATAGATATAGATTAACTAGGGTTGTTCACGGGTTGGGTTGGGTTGGTTTATTGGCGTTTTTCCAACCGACTTGACATGGTCGGTTTACCTAGAAATGAAACCGAAACCGACCCAGTACTAAATAAAATTGACCTGGTCGGTTTGAGTCAGTTTGGGTCGGTTTTGTGAATGATTCTCTCGGTGTGAACAGTAAAGGATTCAAGTCTAAGAAGCGAAGGCTGGGTGCTTGGAAATTAAAAATAATTTGATGGATTAAAGCTGAAAGTTTATATATCAGAAATTTGATATATAATATGTATATTTCCGAAATAAAGCTGATATATATATATCCACAAATATATATCTAAAATATATTATATATAATATATATCTAAGTCAGTCCGGTTTTGGTTTTCACACCGAACCATCGGTTTATGTTTTTTTGTAACCTGAAACCGACCGATGTTGAAGAAAAACCGGCCAACTCAGGTTGGTCGGTTTGTGTCTTGTTATGAACAACCCTAAGATTATCCACCACACAAGGCATTCACCAATCAATTTATGGTCATCCATGGATTGCTCTCCCACTCATTTCACCCATGGAAGGAAGGTCATAATCCCTTTTCTTTAGGATTTGAAGTCCAACAGATCTATATTTATATTAAAACAGAGCGGTCAATAAATTTTCTCCTTTTTTTTTGAATTTTTTGTTTTTTAATTCCATGTCATTTTAAAAACAACTAATGAGATTCACTTTCCCAATAACCTAAATAATCTCTTCTCCTAAATTTTATCCTAAACTACCTCCCCACTTTCTCCAGAATTATATCTAATTCCTATTTATCTTCTAAATTATCTCTAATTCCTATTTATCTCCACAATTATCTCTAATTTAGTAGAGAGTTTCTCTCCTAAATTATCTCTAATTCCTATTTATCTTCTCCCCTACTTTTTATCAATATCTATCTAAAGAAAGTTGGGATTAAAAAAATTTAAGAATTATTTAAATATTCTAACAAAATCATAATATAATAACTTTAAAATATTAATTAAAAACACAAAATAAATTTATATTTTTACATAATATATCACGTAATTATATACTAACAATTTAAATGATGTTTTTCCAGATTATCAACTTAAATGCTTTTCAAATATTTAATGATATGTAATAGCTTTCAATAAATAAAATTCAAATAACAAAAAAATTTAAATATTTTATAGATTATTTAAATAACTAAATATTTATCATAACTATA